TCAAAAAACATGTCCCGATACTATCATAATCGTATGAAGCACACTTATGTTGTGCATGTTAACATGTAATAAATATAATGTATTTAAAATGTTGATGTTTTACCTGATTGAGAAAACGCTGTATAGTGTAATGTGANTTTTCTTTTTTTACTCAGCATTGAACGTTGAAATATTGATAAAGATCACCATTTTACATGTTGTTACGTTGCCTGTCTTAGAGGTGATTTTTCAAATTAGACAGCTAAAACATTCATTGCCATTTTAAAAACACAGTTTATAAATTCAACATAATCATTTGTATATAAATACCTGATCAGCTTTTTAAAACAACAATCCATGGAATACATGATAAGTAACTTTTTATTTTCAAACGAATGTGCTCCATCAATTAAAACTTCGGTATCAGAAGGGAATCAAAATTGTGAATCTATGTTAATACCGATAAGTTATATGAAAGTTTTTGAAAAACTATTCCGCGTTTCAATCGTATGTCTGACTCAAAGGAACTATTATTATGAAACTAAGCAAAGTGTACTTAAAAAGCTCCGTTAAGTGTCCTTATTATGCAAGCAATACTTGGAAGAAACAATTAAAGCAACGATACCCGTCCATTTTAGTGCCTAACTGACCCTACTTAAAGAGATTTTATTTATAAGCAGTGAATATTGTGCGTCGAAGAATATGTATTTCAGAAACGCGTTGGACTCTCGAGTGTGTGTATTGAGATCTCTCAAGCATAATGGTATTATTCTCATACTGTTCGCTAGACTTCGGACAACTGACACAGATGTCGTTATGAAATATCGTAGCGTAGACGTATGACAACTTAACGGCAAAGTGACCGGAACTTTGTAAAAATATGGTAAAGTGTAAGGGGTGTCTGTTTCGACTCGCAAAGTACTTATCGTCGGTGCGTTTTAACGTTTTTGTAGTGTTATTGCGCTTGTTAATTTTGTACATAAAGTAGACTATAAGTTAAAGAAATTAACACGATTCTACCGATAACATTTTATATGGATACACTGCGAATCTTTATATACTTATGATATGCGCAAAATAAAATACAGGGAAACTTATACAATGATTAAAATTAATTTCCACTTTGGTTTTATCCTAACGAATCTTTTTTTTATTAGTAAAAATCAGTCTATTTTCTAACTTTAGTGCTTATAAAATAACTTTTGAAGATTAGAATTTGCATAAAGATTCGCAGTGCATATATAAGTATAGTATTTAATAACAAATATTATTTGGTATGTAAATTATTTACTACCACGACCAAAGTAATAACGAGAAGTGTTCTCGCCTGTTAATATAATTGA